CTGCTATATTTTTGTCTATGTACTAAGTTATTTCTTGTTTACAGTGTTGCATGCATTAAGCTTGAAGAATACCAAACTGCAAAGGCTGCTGTTGAGTTGGGTTCTTCCTATGCATCAGGTGATTCAAGGTTTACTCGTCTATTGAAGGAATGTGAAGAGCGCATCGCTGGTGAGCAAAATAAACTTCAGCTAGTGTTAATTGGTTTATGTGTCCAGAGGAATCTCGCCAGGCACCAGTAAAGAATATTGAGCCTCCTGTGGGACAAGGAGGATGTCATGAAATATAGAGAATACACATCCCCAAGCAAACCTAAATAGGACAAGGAGGATGTCTTTGCCACCTAGCTCGGTGAATGCTAAATATAGAGAATACTACACCTACCTTGTTGGTGAGGGTAGAACCCCCAAGCAAACCTAAATAAAATTTTGCAGTAACTAGTGTAATTCATGAAGTAATTGAACTCTTTGAACCACCTAGCTTTGTGATTTGGGGTTTTGCATATATAAACCCATGCTATATAATCAAACCACTTGACCTACTTATTGTCTTGCAAAGATGGCATGGCTAAAGATTTCATGACCTCTCTATTCACTAAGAGGTAATCAGTCCATTCTATGTATGCTATTTTTGTTTTACATTACAAGGTGTAAGTCACCTTGTTGGTGAGGCACTTATGGATTTGCTTTGGGTCATAGACTTTATCGCTTTGAAACGTTTATCGAAACAAGCCATAAGGGAAGTGTTTCTCTTTACGACTCTCGTGAGGTTTGTAGCTTTTTTAGCGTAAGTTATAAATGAATCTAAAAATTTTGCTTTAGCGACGAGGAAACCTATTTTGTTTGGCTTCCTTTCATCCTTCAACCTAACATATCTAGATGAAGTAATATCTACATGAAGTAATTGGTGTGACAGAAGATAATCTCTTCTTACCTTGTCGTCAAATGTCGATGCATTAGGTACATTAGTCTTCCGATTAGTGTGAACATAGGATTACATGATCAGTTAATATATCGAGCACCGAACCGAGCATACCAATCAATTCACCGTGATTTGGGGTTTTGCATATATAAAAAGCCCATGTCTTCATCTAAAAAATGAACCTGATCCAGATGGTACTTATTGTCTTGCGATTATCAAGCGTCAGGCGTGGCTAAAGATTTCATGCCTCTCTATTCACTAAGAGGTAATCACCGCCATTCTATGTTGATGTTGCTTTTCATACTTGTTTTCTCATTACTAAGGTGTAAGTCAACCTATAGCTAGCACCTTGCCTTCAAGACAAACATGGGTTTATTTCGAGAATACATAATATAAATTTATTTATGATTTCTAGTGAAACCAAGTTTGAGTCTCAATCAAAATGTCAACATTATGATGATAGGAAAATTTAAATAACTTTAGAGAAACAAAACAAAAATCTTTGAAAATTTTTGATGGGTTCACATATAAGCTTCACTTTTACCTTTTTTATCAAAAATGCTTGTTTAATCAAATGGTTATCGGTGATAATTACATTAGCAAATCAAATACCAGTTCTTGCATTGATTTGAAATATATGCATTTGTTTTTAGGTATTACGTATTTTGTTTCACGAGTTTCTTAATTTATGAATCAGATTTTTTAAATGATCACCGAATTTTTATATGTTATGCATTTACGTTACGAGGCATTTTATGGAAACTAATAATACTAGCAATCTTGGATTACATCTTTTACGAGAGTAAGTCGTTACTTTCGTGTGATTACCTATTATCATGATGAAATAACGGAAAGGAAAAAATGGTGAGGTTAGTGGTTCCTCTTGAATGTGTTGGTTGGTTGCCCTTTTTCTCTCCGGATCCGATCGTTTGCATATGCCCCCACCCAGCATACTTGGGTATGAGGAGATCTTTATCTTTGATCCGCTTTCCGGGTTGTTTTCTCCTTTCCCGCCTTGAGTCCGGGATTGAGGCGATCTTGATCTCATCTCCACACCAGGAGAGAGAGTGGTGGATTTCGGGGCACCAACCATGGGCTTGCCCCCACAGAAGAGATCTGATCTCCACGGAGGCGTGGAAAGGAGGCTTCCTCAACTTTGCCCCCTTATATAGATTGACTAGATAAAAACTCTGATCAATCCACGCTAAGTTACGCTTTTGGCTAAAGAAGGCTTCCCCTAGCATATTCCTTAGAGAAAGATCCCACCGATCTCATCTCTGCTCTTTTTAGTTATTGGGCTCTGGTGGAGGATCCATCTGGTGGGCTGGACTCCTCGTTAGGCCTCTTTTAATATTTATTTATTTATCATTACGCTTTTGGTAGTTAGTGGGCCTCTCTGTATGAGATGGACTATGTCTTTTCATTATTGGATCATTGGGGAAAAATGTGGATCTTTTCTCCCTCTGAACATATAGTTGTGGGCCTTGTTTGCCTGATGGAATTTGTGTGTTGCATTCTCTTAAAACACATGTTTTTTCACTTTACCTTTTTTCAATTGTGTTTCTTTTGTTTTTTAGGTATTACGTATTTTGTTTCTGAGTTTCTTATCTACTAACCATGTGCTAAATACTAGTCCAAAACACATGGTTTTTCCTATGTGTTGGTTGGTTGCCCCTTTCCTGCAGGGTGCCTGCCCCCTTCTTTATCTTTGATCTGGGTTGTTTTCTCCTTTCCCCTGCTCATCTCGATCTCATCTCCATGCTGTTTTCTCCACGGAGATATACAAGAGATCCTCCACAACTGATCATGTGTTTCTTAACACATGTGTATGTCTTTATTGGGCTTTGAACAATAGTATATATATATATATATATATATATATATATATATATATATATATATATATATATATATATATATATATATATATATATATATATATATATATATATATATATTCTCATAAATACAACAATAAATTATATTTCCATATAAATTTCAACAAGTATGGTAATCACAATGCTCTATTCCTCTATAGAAACGTGTATATATCTTCATTTAAGGTTTTTCAACTATGTAATCTCGAATGAAAATTCACATTTCCATTTTCTTTATTTCATTGTTTATAGAAACTAAGGTGTGGACTATTTAGTACAATCTAAGTTGTGTTTATTTCTAAATATAGTTATATATGTGGACACACTTCAACGGATGCCAAGATCCGAGGCTAGATATTTAGAATCTCTTCTCCTCTTTCACTCGTTTTCTAAATATCTAATGACCTATGTTCACTTTTCCTTTTCTCCCCTTTTCGAAATATTTCAAAATCTCTTTCTTTCACTTTATCTCTTTTTGATTCCCCCCATATAACTAGGGCAACTTGGGCCTGTTTGGCACACTGTGAGCTGTTTTTTTTTTCAAATACTTATTTCCAAAATAGCTTTATGGATGAAGCTGTTTTTCTCCTTCTCTCACGAAGACATGAGTTGGGATGAAGCTGAAAATAGCAGCTTATCCCAACTCTATCCCTCATAAGCTGTTGGTGATGCTATTTTGCCAAATATTTTTCCAAAGCAGCTCAGCTTCATTAAAACAAACTACTTGAGGCTGAGTTGTTCCAAATAGGCCCTAAAGAAACTAAGCAATTAAGCTATTTTTCTTAAAGAATGATGGTGGGTTGACACTATAAAATAAGAAAAACATCTAATCTTTCTTCTTTCCTAGATAGACTGTTAATAAGACTGAGGTCAGGGGCGGAGCATATAAATTTCAACAAGTATGGTGATCACAATGCTCTATTCCTCTATAGAAATGCGTATAGGTTTCATCTGTCTCGAATGAAAATCACATTTTCATTTTCACTTATTCCATTGTTTAGAAACTAAGGTGTGGACTATTTAGTTTAATCTAAGTTGTGCTCTTTTCTAATTTCTAAATAAATATAGTTATATGTGGACACACTTCGACAGATGCAAAGATCCGAGGCTAGATATTTACAATTTCATCCTCTTCCACTCATTTTTAAAATATTTAATGTCCAATGTTCACTTTTCCTTTTCTCCCCTTTTCTAAATATTCAGAATCTCTTTCTTCCACTTTCTCTTTTTGATTGTGTCCCCCACATAACTAGGACAACACTTAAAAAAACTAGGAGAACCTTAGAGAAACTAAGTAATCAAACTATTTTTTAAAGAATGGAGGTGTGTTGAAACTATTATAAAGTAAGAAGAAACATCCAATCTTTCTTCTTTTCTAGACAGACCGTTAAATAAGACTGAGGTCAGGGGCGGGGCTATAGCCATGGCTAGAGTGCATCCTCATCCATGCGACAATTAAAAACACAGTAGAAATGGTCAAATTTTTACTATATTTGTATCTCATATCATATATCATTGCACCAACAAAGCAAACGTATCTTTTCTTGGATCTGCTCTAGCTCCGTCCATGCCTTCAGAGTTCTGACTAAGGTAACATCAGCTCTGAAGAAAAATTCAGGTAAAAAGGCACCTTTCCAATCTGGACTTAGAACGAGCAACTCTTCCCCCTAAAATCTGAAAGGTCTTATTTAGTTGCACTCTAATCCAAATCAATATGCATAATTTTCCAATCCAATACATGTAGATTAGGTGAATTGAAGTGCAGCTACACAAGTCGAAAGAGAAATTAGACGTGTTGGATGGAATCAGTGATTGACGACACACGCACAAAAAACGTTGGAAGGTTAAATTTCACACGCAGCTGCACGCGTTCTTACATTACAGATCTTGCACCCTACACACACAAGAAGCTCAGTTATAGCCTATACTATAGGCTACACTACAGCCAACCAAACTGACCGACGCGACGACGAGCAGTCGATCGAGCAAACAGCGAAGTGGTGCAAGAAGAGAAGACAAGGAAGCAGCAGCAGTTTACTACCAGTACAATACTACTATGGTACAGGTACAGCAGTACACGGTATATAGCCGTATAGGTACAATCCGTGCGGCCAGCGGCCGGATCGCCAGAAACACAGGCGGCAGAGATCGAAGCGAGCGCCGCCGCCACGAGACCTCGGTGAGGAGGACATGCATCCCACACTTCACTTGGGTCCCCAGAGCAGCAGGTGCATCACCTTGGCCGTCTTGCCGTGGACGTGGACGTGGTCCTCTCGCCCGCGCCACCCCGCCGGCTCCCTCCCGGCCGCCGACCCCGACGCCGCCGACACGCCGGAGCGCGGCAGCCGCAGCTGCTCCGCGGCGTCGCGCGCCAGCGCCCGCAGGGTGGCGAGCTCCGGCCACCTGCTGGTGGTGCTCTCGCGCCCGCTGCTCATGGCCGCTGCTGCTGCGCCGTAGCACTAGCACGCACGCCTCTACGACCTCTCTCGGGCACCTCTTGTGTTGTTGTTGCCGAACCACATGCCGTTAGCAGCTAGACACCGAGCCGGTCGGTTATATAAGGCGGTCTCCGTTGCGGAATCAAAACCATAGATCTCTAACCCGATATCTACCGTCTTCAACAGAGTATCTATACGTGGAAGACCTATTTTATATGTCGGAAGAGACATAATCTAAATCTAAGTATTATCTTTTTTGAAGACTTATTTGCAGAAAGGGTTGTCTTTTAGGTCTTATTATTGAAAAAGACAAAAATAAATATCGAACCATTTACTTGTAGCGCTGTTCAAAGAACAAATGAGTCTGGTATTTTGGTCACGGTTGTTGGACACAGTCGCAGCGGCCGAGCTAGGCACAGCGACGGACTGACGACGGGTCCAGTGGACAGCAGCACAGGTGAGGTGAGTGAAGATAAGAAGCGACGATAAATATCGTGTACGTGGCGTCATTGACGAGAGGCCGTGGATCGAGTGGCCGGGAATCTCTGGTTGACGTGCGCGGTCGTGCGTGCCCGCGATCTTTTCCCGCGGTCCGGTTCGTCCGGTGGCGTCACGGCGCGGGCGCCGCCGTCTCGAAAGCTCCGTTGTGTACGTACTCCATGCGCGTGCGGTGGCGTCTGCTCGGAGGTCAGTCAGGCCGCGCGTCCGGATCAGACGAGCCATCGGCCATCGCGCGGCGTTTTTCCACGAGCCGCGGGTCCACCGGTCGATCGCCAAGTTGGGGAGTGCCGGGCCTGCCGGCCGTGGCTGGCGTGGGGCTGTGGGCGCGGCCGGTTCGCCGGCGGGTGGTCGCGATCCGAGACAGGGAGGGATCGGTGGTCATTCATGTGCGTGGGGCTCACTGGCGAAAGGGAGGGTTCGAGACTGCTCCGGAGTTTGGAAGGAAGGAGGAGAGGTGGCTGGGCGCGATCTGTGCGTACTTGTCGCCGTGATACAGAAAAATCTGGCCAGCCGTGGTCCAAAAAAAGAGGACGATCTCAATCCAGCTTGTAAAAAAAAAATCATAAGCCTCGACTTTTGCCGACGGTACGTAATTCTAGCATGTACTAAGCATTCGCTATTTGCTCGTTCGCCCGATCGCTGTGACGAAAAATACTATAGAAAATCTGTGAGATTGGCGGACGTACAATATTTTGCAAATTTAAAGATTATTTTTGCGAGAAGTTTAGTGCCCCCATGCTTTTCGTCTCGGAATGAGGACCTGGACCATGGCTAGGCTGAGCTGACCGAGCTCGGCAAACTTGTGGCCAGGTAGCCTTCAAGTGCTATGGCTACAATAAAAGCTATATACTTTCTTTCTTTTTAACTACTTTTCCACGTCATGCTATGTGTTTACCTTCTCTTTTTCTTTTTTCGCTAAGGCATCTCCAGTGGATAACTCAGTTCATATGCCACGTACTAAAGTTTCTTGAGCCCAATCTTCACCATTTAGCATGGGGGCCACCACTTTAAACAAAAACGCACACACACATGAATCTAGCTCAGCCTTGTATGTAACCTGAATCTTAGAGTGGACTCAACTCTCTACGCACGCTCGATCGAGTACTCTTGATGAAGCATGAAGATTCGGTTTGGGTTTCGCCACGTCAGCCTATGCATCGATGACGATAAACGAAATAGCGTTGTGTATAGTCGTACCAACCAATTCGGTCGCAAAAGTATATGCTAGATTTACTCCTACTACGACGACCCAAGGCGTTCTATGCACCACACGTATGTATATCCACTCTGCTACTCATATTTTCTCTGATAAGCCATGACTAAAAATACTATTGGCTAATTTGTTGTAAGAGAAAAATATTGTTCATTGATTGAAAAAATACGGCTTATAAGCAAAACGAGTGCGTAAAGCAAACCTGATGGCTGATGACGAACGCGTGCCTGTCCTGCACATGCGGCCAACGGGAGACGCACGCGCGCGCGACTCGTCGGCCAGCCGACCAGCCGGAGAAAGCAAAGGCGTAATTGAGTGCAGCGTCGGTGAGCCGCGGGGCCGCGGCGGCAGGGGACGCACGGCCGGCCGGCTCATCAACGCTGCACTCAATGATGCCTTTGCTTCTCTTCTCTTGGATCTGATGCCCATATGTCCATTCCATGACTGTTCTGCTCACGCTACCGATCATTATAACGACGCCTGCGAGCAGGGAGCACGGGACTGTACTGCAAGCGTTTGCTGATTTCTCATTTCCAGAGGGCGTGCAGGTCTGCGCTCCCAATCTGTACTACCGCCAAACGTTGTACTACGACCATGATCGATCCCTATGTCTGGGTCCGGGGGCCAACTGCCGGAGCGCAGCAGGTGTACTGTAGCGCGTGCCCTGTGCCACTGTCAACTGGGCTCCAGGCAGCCTCCATCCAATCCAGCGCTGGCGTCGGCGTCGTCCAGATCATTGTTATGTCGTCGACTCTGGATCCTCTTCGATATGTCGAGCAGATAGTACAGACTGTATTGCAAGATGCATCCCAGTACATCAAGCAGATCGTTTCTCGCACCAATAAGAAGAGGTCCAGGTTCTTCATCAGTCATCATCTATTTCCTAAACATTGTACTGCACATCAATCATCCATGGATAAACATGGTCATGCTGCGTGCCTACATGAATAATCAACGTTAATTTGTATCAACAGTCAGCCCGTTCGTTTCGGTTGAATTGGCTTATAAGCCATGGCTGAAAGTACCGCTGACTGGTTTGGTGTGAGAGAAAAACATTATTCTAAGCCGTTAATTATAAACCAGATACGAGCGAATAAGCCGAAACGAACAGGCTGACTGCAAGTGACGAACAGGCTGACTGCAAGTATATGTAGTTCTGTACTCTGTAGTAAACACACGTTTCCAGGACTGAAACCTAGTACTGCAAACATGACAGATACAGTATATATGAGAAGAAATGCAGGGATTCAAAAAGAGATTCATCTACACCGATCAACTATGGTTACACTCTCACGACAAGGGGAAAAAAGATCCATGGTTAAATATGTCAACATGACAAGATCTTCTTGTGACAAATCGGCTTTGTACTTACACTAGTTACAAAATTACATCGAAAACACATGTTTCAAAAATTGAAAAGTCAAGTATATTACTCTAATGTACAGTATAAAAAACGCAAAATGGTAGGCACTTTAGATCCTACCAGTCCAAAGGGTAACCTGAACATCTCAATTTCGCAATCACATATGCGTTGATAGATCATAACTCTTGCTGTGGGAGTTGGAACAGTGTTTTTCTCTCACAACAAATTAGCATCAGTAGCCGTCAAATTTCAGCGAAACGAACAGGGCCAGCAATTGGTTCTGCGGTTCATGTGGCACCAACAATTGTTGGAGGCCACGGTCCACCTTGGCAGTGCAGCACTGCAGCGGTTAAGCCGTAGCTGGGGCTTGTCCTGTGCTCTGGACACTGTGCTATCAAGGAGGTCTGCAATCAGTCTTGTGGCTGCCGCAGTGACAACAGTGACTACTGCTGTGGTGGCAAAGGTGACAGCTGCTGCGGCTCTCCTTGCACAGACTGCTCGCGCTGCTGGTGCCGGTCGCTCTGCCATGCCCAGACCATATCCTTAAGTGCAGGCCTTATTTCTTCTTTCACGAGCCTTTGATACTCTATGGTGTCACCATTGGTCTTCTTCAACTCGACTAGAAGGAAAGAAGGAGCAAGCTCAAAAATCTCTGCATCAAGCTCCAGAAATCCCTTTATTCCTTCCTTTGGTGCAGCCAGTTTCAAAACCCCATTTTCTTTCTTCTTAATTTTGAGATTTAACCGCTCAGCCAGTTCATTTAGCTTAGCAAAGACTGTTCCTGCTGGCTGCCTTGTGGTGAATCTCTCTTCCCTCCGGCCATATTTTTCTTCGAACAAATTAGACAGGTCAAATCCAGTCGAAAGAGAAATGATGTCAAATGCATTCAGGTTAGGGAGGCTCGACGACCCTTGATTTTCCTCTGGATTACTGCATTCTATTGAGTTAGAGGTTGTGGCTTCACTGTTGCACACCTTGTCTCTTGTTGTGTCATGCTTGATCCTTGCTGCATTTACCTCAATAGGTCTTCTGTACCAAGTGCTTCTCTTTATCCTTGAAATAGATATTCTAGTACTTGGATCTGGATCAAGCATTCTAAAAAGCAGGTCCTTCAATTCACCAGAAAAGGAACGAGGACATCTGTATTCAGCTTTGGAGATCTTCCTATACATCTCAATAAGATTTGGGTCATGGAAAGGCAGGTAACCAGCCACAAGCACAAAAAGAATTACTCCACAAGACCATATGTCCGCCTTTGTGCCATCGTAGCCTCTCCTACTAAGCACTTCAGGAGCAACATAGGCAGGAGTTCCACAGGTGGTATGTAGGAGGCCATCGTGCCTTTTGGATTCAGCTAGGGCACTTAGACCGAAATCAGAGACTTTAAGGTTCTCATTCTCATCTAGAAGTAGGTTTTCCGGCTTCAAGTCACGATGGTAAACACCTCGGCTGTGGCAGTAGTCCACGGCACTAATCAGTTGGTGGAAGTACCTCCTCGCGACATCCTCGCTGAACTTTCCCTTTGATATTTTGTTGAACAGCTCACCACCTTTAGCATACTCCAATACAAAGTAAATCTTGCTCTTGCTAGCCATTACCTCAAAAAGTTGCAGAACATTCGGATGCTTTACCAGTCTCATTATAGAGATCTCCCTCTTTATCTGCACTATTAGCCCAACCCTTGTGATCTTGTCCTTATCAATCATCTTTATTGCAACAGACTGCCCGTCAGTCAGTCAGGTTTCGAGCAAAATACACCTTAGCAAAGTTTCCTTGTCCTAATTGCCTCCCGATTTCATAACGGTCCATCAAAATAGTCCTCCTCTCGTCCATTATATGGATCTCTATATACAGTGACAGAGAAACGGATAGGCTATACAAAGCAAGATGCGCCTCACTTTTAGAATGTCCAACTTATAGACTAGGGTAAGTGGGCACAGATTATGATCACCAAGGTCGTGGCTTACTGGCTTACAAGATTGAAAGTCCTTGATTTCCCCTCTTCTGTGGCCCAAAACACAGGGAAAATGTTGTACCAGTGTGCAGCCTATGAGAACTTGATAGGATCACTTAGCACAAACAGCAAAGCCTCCTAGTGCTCAGTTGAAATGACCAGTGGAAAACTGCATGGAAAGGGAAATATAATTAGGGCAAACAAGTAATGCAAATGGAATCAACAACGAGTAGTAATTCAAATGGAGATCAGAGGCTGGTATAAATATCAAGGCAGGCTTTAGTTCTGTCGGTGTTTTCGGACCACCGATGAGTAAATTTGTATTTGCGCGTCTGGTTCGGTTGGTGTGCTCGGAGGACACAAGGGTTTATACTGGTTCATTCGGGCGGAACATCCCTACGTCCAGTTCGCTGCTGCTCGTGTTACCGGCACTTGGTTTGCAGTAGGGGTTACAAACAGGCGAGAGAGGGAGTGGATCCCAAGTCTCTGGTGGAAGGAGTGAACGGATGCTGAGAGCTCAATCGCTGCTCAGCCGTGTACTCGTGTTGTGCTCCTGTGTGTTTTTCTCGTGGTCCGGCCTCTGGTAGGGGCGCCCTGCTTCCCCTTTTATAGGCGAAGGGAAAACACGGGTTACAGAGGAGGAAAAGGAGAGGAACGAGAGAGAGAGGAAGGCCTCCAGGATCACCGGGTCCTTCTTCTCCTTCATGCGGGTCCCGCCGATCCTATAGATGTCAAAAGGGACGGCTCCACGTCGCGGCCCTGTTCGTCACTAGCGCCAGGCGCAAGCGTCATCTGCCGGTCATGGCGTTCCATTCCGTCCCGGCGGACGTCGTGGTGAACTGACGCGGCTGTCAGCGTTCGTATGAGGGTTAGGCAGAACAGCATCGGCACGCCCGACGCTGTTCTTGATGTGAATCTTCATGTATGGCCTGTCATGGCCACGGGTTACATCGAGGCGTGCCAGTCTCTTCTCTGGTGTCAGAGTTTTGACCCAGGCCCATACGCTTGGACCTAGAGTGGTTGGTGGCGGTATGGGTCCCCGTCAGACGAGACGGAACCCGTGATCTTGTGGTCGGGCGAGACGGAGCCCACACCCGAGGGGTCGGGCGAGACGGAGCCTGTACCCAAGGGTCGGGCGAGACGGAGCCCGCACCCAAGGGGTCAGGCGAGACGGAGCACGAACCCAAAGGGTCGGGCGAGACGGAGCCCGTGGCCTCGAGGTCGGGCGATACCCCCGCGGCCTCGAGGTCGGGTGAGACAGAGCATGCGGCCTTGGGGTCGGACGAGACAGAGCCTGCGGCCTTGGACGAGGCCCCCGTGGCCTCGAGGTCGGGCGAGACGGAGCCCGCGGCCTTGGGGTCGGGCGAGACTTTTTAATGCGTCTTGCTCCATCCGGGGAAGTCAGTGTGGACGCTAACTTCCTTGCTTTGGGTATCCCTAATATCGATACCCGACAGTAGCCCCCGAGCCTACGGAGGAGTGGAATACTCCTTTGGAGGCTTTTCTGGACGAGAGGACTCTGAGGGCATTGGCCTTCTTTTTTTAGCCCGCGACGTGTCCTGGTAGGGTGGCGGTTTCCCTTTTTGTCGCGATCGGTCTTCTTGGGGGCATGTAACCGTAGGATTCGGGAGGTCGAAAATATTTTTCTTGATTCCAGTCCCCTAGGATCCGATCGGTCCGCCGTCGTACGGCGACCGCGCGTTTGGTCTCCTTGCGAGTCCAACTTTCTTCAAGCCCCCGCGCGTAGCAGGGTTCCGGTCGAGGGTCGGCTCGTCTTTGTGATGGACAAAACATGGTGCTTGGTGAGCTGTTAACGGGCTAGTCCGAGTGGGGCCCCGGCTTCCCGTTCGTGGGGGTCCAACATGGGTCAGCTGGTGACCGACTCCAGATTCTCGGTGGCCAATCCATATAGTTGTAGGGTCCGTTCGACCGGTCCCGAGAGCTGGCTGCCTTTCTTCGAGAAAAAACCATGGACTGGGAACCGACCAAGACTCGAACGTGGGCCGGGATGCCCGCGGCGCTCTTGCGCCTGGGTACTGGCCGCTAGTGGGCCCATCCCTTTCCACTCCTCACTCTAAGGGCGCTCCGGAGCGGTTGTGAACCCGTCGGAGGGCCAGCCTTCGAACTCCTGGGCCTAAATGGGCCGTAGGAGCGTTTTCAGCTCTGTATCCCACCTTACCTGTGACGGCTCTTGGCCTATTGAACGGTCGAACCGTCATCCGGCGTATCCTTCGGGAGCACGGCCAGAGATAGCATGCGCGCGATCTTCGGAGGGAGGTGACGTGACGCGGCGCAGCGGGCGCGTGAATCTAGGCGGACGGTTCGCCTTCTCGTCCCACTCCGCCCTATAAATAGCGGCCTCCCCCTTTGCGTTCCTGCACACCAAAACTACAGCCTTACCTTCTCTGTTTCTCCGCCGCCGCCGCTCGGATCTGCCGTGTTTGCTAATCTGCCGCCGGAGCCCTAGATCCGTAGCTTCCGCTCCTCTGCCACCGCCTTTGCTTCTCCGTAGCCACCTCCATCCTCCATGGATTCGTGGTATCGTTCTGATGTTACCTATGCGCGCATGGAGGGCCTCGTCAAGCGTGGTCTTCTCCGCGGGAGGACTGATGCGGCGGAGTGGCTTGTGCCCGGCCGCGAGGATGCGCCGGTGCCGCCCGACGGCTACATCGTCTCCTTCGCGCTCTTCCACGAGCGCGGACTCGCGGTTCCTCCTCACCCGTTCTTCCGGGGTCTGTTGTACCACTATCAGATCGAGCTGCAGCACTTGAACCCCAACGGGATCCAGCACATCGCGGCCTTCATCGCGATGTGCGAGGGGTACTGGGGGATCGAGCCCCACTTCGAGCTCTGGAGATATTTGTTCTCCATCTCCTTGATCAAGGAGAGAGGCCGAGAGACCTCGGTGCCGATGGGATGCGCGGGCATCCACCTCAGGGGGCAGCGGGCGGCCGAGTACATGCCCTGCCAGCTTTCCAGATCCAACAAGGGGTGGCACTCGCATTGGTTCTATCTGAAGAACGACCCTGCCGCTCCCTTGCAGATCTTCTTCGGGCGTCTGGTTGAAGAGGTACCGCCGTCATGGCCGTGGGGGTCGCCCGTCAAGGAGAAGAGGATGCGCGACCTCCTCGAGGCCATCACGGTCCTGAAGACCCGCGGCCTCCGCGGGGCCGGCGTCATCGGGGGGTATCACGCGAGGAGGGTGGCACCACTAATGGCGCGCGTCCTCCCGATGTACGGGATGACGCCCGGCGCGCAGCTCGTCAGGACGACGCTCGCCCAGGGGCTGCTTCGCGACAGAGAGGTCGCGCAGCGCGTCAAGGAGGCCACGGGGGAGGCCGACGTCGTGTTCCCGATCCCGGGGCATCCCGCGATGCGGCCGGACGCGGGCTTCATCGAGCTGCCGGCGGGGTTAGCCTTCCGGGATTCTGTCGCGCAGCTGCCAAAGCACGCGGCCGTGAGGGCGGCGAACCGTACCGCGGATGAACAAAGGAAGAGGAAGAAGAATGACGAGGCGAAGAAACGGCGGTCGAAGCAGCGAGCGAAGCTGCAGTGAGGGAAGCGACGTCAAGGCTCGTTAGAAGAAGAGGAGGATGACGGCTCCATGTCGCCCATCCCATGGGATGACCTCCCCGCCGGGGGCGAGGACCCGCCTTCGTCGCAGGCGGGGCCCTTCCCGTGGCATGTCACGAGGCAAGAGGGGGAGGACGCGCCCCTGGAGCCGGCGGAATCAAGCCGCCCCGCCCCGTCCGGGCCTTCGACGGCGGCCTCGGAACCAGCGGAGTCAGGCCGCCTCGCCTCGTTCGGGCCTTCGGCGGCGGTCCCGGAGCCGGCGGAAACAGGTCGCCCTGCTCCGTTCGAGCCCTCGGCAGCGCCTCCGGAGGCGGTGGGAGGCGGCTGTTTTGATTCGTCCGAGCTCTCCGAGCCGAGGGAGGGCTCGAAGCGGCAACGTGCCGACGAGGAGCAGCCGGGGTCGGGCAAGCCGGCCCCAAAACGTCCTCGTATGATGGCGTCAAGGTGAGTCAAGAGTTTTTGTCATCCTTTTGTCCTAACGAATTTTTGTCGCGAACTGACCGCCATGTCCCTTGCAGCGTCGGAGGACGTGGGACTCTCCAGCGGCTTGCTCCGAAAAAAGATCCTCCTCCGGCAAATGCGCCAGGAGCCGGCTGTCGCCACGCCGGTGGAGGGCGTGAGTGGCGCCGGGGCGGCCACGGCGTCGACCCGGGAGGCGCAACCGATGGCTGTCCACGGGAGAGCAGGCGGAGGAGGGCGCGTCCGGGGCGCCCGTGGCAGGCGCGGCGCGACCAGTCATGTCCTCGACGTCGCAGACGGAGGAGGCACGGTCGGAGCCGCCGTTCGTGCAGGTGGCCGTGTCCGCGGCGGGGCGGACGGAAGGGGGCGCACCCGAGGCATCCTTCGCGGATGTGGCGACAGGGCAGGCCTCCGTGTCCGCGTCACCCGCCCCTCTGTCGCTAGAGGAGCCGCTCTAGAGCTGTCGTCGCCAGAGAGGTCGGCGCCGCTTGAGGTCGGCACGGGGACGTCCCGGTCTCTGGTCCGGGTGGCTGCCCTCAATGAAGCGGCAGAGGAGAGGGAATGGGGGAGCGTCCACACGGAGGTTGGGGACGCGATTCGCGCTCTGAC